AGAAATAGAATAGAGTGCAAGTGTTAGAGACCGGTAGTCAACAAGTACCGTTAGGGAAAGTTGAAAAGAACTGTGAAGAGTTTTATAGATTATTAGAATAAATGAAAGAAAACAAGTAGATTGAATAGAAATAGAATCAAGTGCCTGTGTTAGAGGGTCAAGTTTTTTTTTATAAAAATAAAAGTAGATAGAATAGAAATAGAGTGCAAGTGTTAGAGGGTCGAATTTGTATAATAAATAAAAGAAAACAAGTAGATTGAATAGAAATAGAATAGAGTGCAAGTGTTAGAGGGTCAAGCTTTTTTATATACAATAAATAAAAGAAAACAAGTAGATATAATAGAAATAGAATCGAGTGCCTGTGTCAGAGGGTCAAGTTTTTTAATAAAAAGAAAAGTAAATCGAATAGAAATAGAATAGAGAGTGCAAGTGTTAGAGGGGCAATCATTTTTATATACAATAAATAAAATAAAACAAGTGGATATAATATAAATGGAATAGAGTGCCGGGCCAGCCAGTGTTAGAGGGTCAAGTTTTTTTAATAAAAAGAAAAGTAGATCGAACAGAAATAGAATAGAGTGCAAGTGTTAGAGACCGGTAGTCAACAAGTACCGTTAGGGAAAGTTGAAAAGAACTTTGAAGAGTTTTATAGATTATTAGAATAAATGTGTGTCTTTAGCTGTTTCTTGAAGATGGCTAAAGACTCGGCTGCTTGGATTGAGTTGGGCAGGTCATTCCACCAGCAGGGAACAGTTAAGGTATGATGATGAGCATATAATGTAACGTCAGCTTGAAATGAAAAAGTGACTTGAGTCAGAGATTTCCGTTTGCCTCAGGGCAGAGAATGTAATAATTAAAAAAAATAAAAAATATCATAATGCATAACGGTTGTCCCCTTCTGTTCTTTAACGCACCTGTCTTTGTCCCAATCCACAGCTTGGCAGCGTCCCAACAAGCAGCAGCTCGGAAAGCTGCCACCCCAATGCCTCCGTCAGAATTCCTGGACAAGCTTATGGGAAAAGTGTCCGGTTATGATGCAAGAATCAGACCTAATTTCAAAGGTAGGTGCATCCACCAAGACACTGCTGGATGTCACAGGAATGTAACCAAGCACTAAAAGCAATTTCAGTGCAAAAATATATACGATAAGTACGTTGATTATTTGTCAATAAATAGAAACAAGTGATATATTGTTATAATAATCCATCTTGTTTCCACTAACATTTTAAAATTCTGATTTCAAATAACATGCGATTCAAAGCTACTCCCAAAATGTAATTATTCACTCCAAATGTTATAGTTATCAAAGAACAGCAGCCTGCTGGATACATCAGTGCATTTACTAAGGATAAATTGTACAGTCGTTATATTAAGAAACCTGCTCCCAAGCTGGCTACATTCCTGTTTAAGGTCCATGATCTTGAATCATTATCCTGAGTGAATGTCTATGGTGGTACTCGTTATCCTATATATTATAGTGTGTGACGTGTGCTGGCAATGTTAGAAATAGCCACTGCAAGATACATGTCAGAGGTTTCCTTATATTCAACATTATATTAATGTCAGTCATTGCAAATTATAGTCTGCCTGTTCCTTAGCTATTCTTGGAAATACACTTTTTTTCTTTCAAAGGCATATCAGTAAAAAAATCAGTTTTAAATGCAACATTTGCTTTTAATACACATAGCAATTGCAGTGTAACTAAACAATAATACTAAAACAAAAAATTTATTTTAAAAACACTATTTTGGACATTGTGTACATATAAATGCCCTACAAGATTAAATGGTAGGTTTTTTTTTTTCTCTCTTTTTTTTTCAGCGTTGTGTCAAAAAATTGTATATGTTCACTGCTAATGTATTATGCTTGTGTATATTATATATATTCAATTCAAATTGAATATTGACCCCCCCCAAAAAATGTTTGAATCTGTATTGTTTATTAGAGCCGAATGTATTAGATGTTTGATATTTTGCATGTAAGTTGACCTGTAACACTTTATAATAAATTTAGCAAGCAACATAATATTATATTATATAGTGCTTATCAAATCATTATTGTGCATTGAAATATGAACTACTGATTCGTTAAGCTTTATATAAAGGTTGAATTATTGATTCATGAAAATTATTATAAAGTGTTCCCTTTGACCGAGATATGTTTAATGTAATGCAGACACTTATACGAAGTAAAAAAATCTGAAAATGTGTACAGTTTATATGTGTACAGTCTCACTCTTCCTTTGAAACTATAGGTAGGTAAAAGCATTACTGAATGATAGAAATATTACAGTAATGTATCCTGAGACTTTGTCCAGACTGTTAAACCTGCTTGAGCGCTTAAATGGCAGAGGGCCCTGTCTGATTTTGAGGCCTTGCATCTTAACCTTGCTCGTGGCAACAGATTTATTTATTTTATTTATTTACTTATTTCTGTTGACAGTCAGTGCTGTGATATGGTGAATGAAATCTTAAATTTTGCTGTTTGCTGAGTTTTGCTGCAACCTTGTTTATGGTGAATGGCGTCATATTGCGGAGTTGGCTGATTGTTTTCTCACTTACATTTACCCTGAAGTAGCAGATATTTCAACGTCGCAAACTCCGCATTGCCTTTATGCTTTCGATGTGTAATTGAATCCCTAGTTGCCAGAAATCAAAACTCATTATGTAATTCATTCAGTTCATTTCATGAGGGCACATGGGCCTTGTGGTCACATGACCAGACCAGACATTATGAAATACAAAGGTTCGTCACGGCTGTCAGGTCAAGTGTGTAACTGCACTCTGAGCCGGAAGCTCACGTGTCCTCGGCCAGCTTTCTCTGCACCGCTATAGACAGCAACAGAAATAGAATGGAGTGCAAGTGTTAGAGGGTCAAATTTGTATAATAAATAAAAGAAAACAAGTAGATTGAATAGAAATAGAATCGAGTGCCTGTGTTAGAGGGTCAAGTTTTTTTAATAAAAAAAAGTAGATAGAATAGAAATAGAGTGCAAGTGTTAGAGGGTCCAATTTTCATAATAAATAAAAGAAAACGAGTAGATTGAATAGAAATAGAATAGAGTGCAAGTGTTAGAGGGTCAAGCTTTTTTATATACAATAAATAAAAGAAAACAAGTAGATATAATAGAAATAGAATCGAGTGCCTGTGTTAGAGGGTCAAGTTTTTTTAATAAAAAAAAGTAGATAGAATAGAAATAGAGTGCAAGTGTTAGAGGGTCCAATTTTCATAATAAATAAAAGAAAACGAGTAGATTGAATAGAAATAGAATAGAGTGCAAGTGTTAGAGGGTCAAATTTTCATAATAAATAAAAGAAAACGAGTAGATTGAATAGAAATAGAATAGAGTGCAAGTGTTAGAGGGTCAAATTTGTATAATAAATAAAAGAAAACAAGTAGATTGAATAGAAATAGAATCGAGTGCCTGTGTTAGAGGGTCAAGTTTTTTTTTTTTTTAAAGAAAAGTAGATAGAATAGAAATAGAGTGCAAGTGTTAGAGGGTCGAATTTGTATAATAAATAAAAGAAAACAAGTAGATTGAATAGAAATAGAATCGAGTGCCTGTGTTAGAGGGTCAAGTTTTTTTTTTTTTTAAAGAGTAGATTGAATAGAAATAGAATAGAGTGCAAGTGTTAGAGGGTCAAGCTTTTTTATATACAATAAATAAAAGAAAACAAGTAGATATAATAGAAATAGAATTGAGTGCCTGTGTTAGAGGGTCAAGTTTTTTAATAAAAAGAAAAGTAGATAGAATAGAAATAGAATAGAGTGCAAGTGTTAGAGGATCAAGCTTTTTTATATACAATAAATAAAAGAAAACAAGTAGATATAATAGAAATATAATCGAGTGCCTGTGTTAGAGGGTCAAGTTTTTTTATAAAAAGAAAAGTAGATTGAATAGAAATAGAATAGAGTACAAGTGTTAGAGGGTCATTTTTAATACATAAAAAGAAAAGTAGATCGAATAGAAATAGAATAGAGAGTGCAATCTTTTTTATATACAATAAATAAAATAAAACAAGTAGATATAATATAAATGGAATAGAGTGCCGGGCCAGTCAGTGTTAGAGTTTTTTTAATAAAAAGAAAAGTAGATAGAATAGAAATAGAATAGAGTGCAAGTGTTAGAGGGTCAATTTTTTAATAAATAAAAAGGAAAGTAGATAGAATGGAAATAGAATAGAGAGTGCAGGTGTTAGAGGGTCAAGTGTAGATGGAAGAGATGTCACCACCTTAGAATTACAAGGTTCTATCTGCATTCTGAGCAGTTTTGAGATTTAGAGCTTCAAAGTTTTTGGATTCCATATATTTTTTTAATCTAAATCTATTTTGAATCTATTTTTGAGTGAGTTTTCATGATGTCACTAGATTGGATTTGAGTGCTGTTTTCAATTAATTAATTTGAAAATTCTATAATATTATAATTCTATTCTTTTTAAAAAATTGTCCCTTTTAGACTTGCACTCTATTCATTTACTGATTGTTTTCTTAAAAAAAAAAAAGTAACACTAGTTTTTCTAATCTTTTTGTATTCTTTTTATTTATTATTAACAAAAGCAAAAAAAAGTAATCTAACACTAGCTTGCCCTATTCTTTTACCATTCTATCTGTTTTCTTTTTATTTATTATATAATTTTAAAAAATTACTACGTGTACTGCATTGAGCTAGCTGAGACTTGTTATAGCACTTGCATATCATTGCTCTTTTGTTGATTTTGATTGTTTCCATTGTCCTCATTTGTAAGTCGCTTTGGACAAAAGCGTCAGCTAAATGTAAATGTAAATGTAAATGTAAACGTTTTGTTTTCTAAATAAAAAATCCCAAAATGTACACAACTTCAAAAAAATCATACTATGTAAATAAATTGTCACAGAATAAGAATGTGAATAATTAAATTTTGACAAAAATGTCAGACAGAACCTTATAATTCCAAGGTGACAATGTGTCTTTAGCTGTTTCTTGAAGATGGCTAAAGACTCGGCTGCTTGGATTGAGTTGGGCAGGTCATTCCACCAGCAGGGAACAGTTAGATTGAATAGAAATAGAATAGAGTGCAAGTGTTAGAGGGTCAAGCTTTTTTATATACAATAAATAAAAGAAAACAAGTAGATATAATAGAAATATAATCGAGTGCCTGTGTTAGAGGGTCAAGTTTTTTAATAAAAAGAAAAGTAGATAGAATAGAATAGAGTGCTAGTGTTAGAGGGTCAATTTTTAATACATAAAAAGAAAAGTAGATGGAATAGGAATAGAAATAGAATAGAGAGTGCAAGTGCTAGAGGGTCAAGCTTTTTTATATACAATAAGTAAAAGAAAACAAGTAGATATAATTGAAATAGAATAGAGTGCCGGACCTACCGGTGTTAGAGGGTCAAGTTTTTTAATAAAAAGAAAAGTAGATAGAATAGAAATAGAATAGAGTGCAAGTGTTAGAGGGTCAATCTTTAGTAAAAAGAAAAAGTTGATAGAATAGAAATAGAATAGTGTGCAAGTGGTAGATGGTCAATTTTTAATAAATAATAAGACAGCATCCCTAAAAATCATGCAGCAAGTGGCTTGACAGCATCTCTCCATAAGTTCAGGAGGAAAAAGCCGAAAGAGAACATTTAAAGGGTCCTACGCTCCTGCGCAAACAGCATGTGATTTTTTACAGCTCATGGTGAGGAGGAGTTCACCTCCTCTGATTGCTCAGCCTCTCCTGCAAATGTGATCATACAGTGAAAAAAGGGAGTGAAAAAGATAAGAATCGCCTGAAGCAACGAATGTGCTGGCATGAAGAATTTACACTGATCGTGACTGGGGCTCACTGTGGGAAATCCTTCCAACTGATTTAGTTGGGACCATTTGAAATGGAAAGGCATATTTGGGGCACCCCATGCAGCAAGAACTGGGAGAGATATATTTTCAGATCTTTCACGTGTATCTTTTCAGTCAATGAATTATGCAAGATTGTATTTTAAGGCTAAAGTGTGTAATTTTTTTACATTTGGTAACACTTTACAATAAGGTTTAATTCATTAATATTAGTTAATTAGTTATCATGAGCTAACAATGAACAAT